CCAGTGTTACACTCTTTGGTGTGCGTGACCACCAAGGAGTCACCCTCATGTAGCTGCAATCATCACTACACATAGAATAGTCATTTGTGAAATGAGACACCCCAAAAGCCATCCACACTTCAATAATGTATATGAAATTAAATATGATTTCCAGCCTGCATCCTTATAAGAACCTAAATCTAAAACAATGAACCAAAAATATAAAATGACTAAAGATACTGAAGTAAAACAGTTTTGATCGTATAATTTAAGTACTTTCAAATAGAAAGTCACCATAGTCTTCAGATGTTTGTGTGTGCACGGTGGTCCTGCAAATAGAACCCCACCCAACCACCTGACGTCCCATAAAAAATACCCACGACTGTCACCTGTTTACTAAAGACTTGCTTGTTTGAGAAAAATGTTTCGTAGACCGAAGTGGAAGGTTTTGGGTAAATTACAAGAATCATGTAGAGCTACAGACATCACATTGTGAGCTGTCTGCTGACTCCCTCACCTGCTGTCATTGATGACCTCCTTCAGTCCCTTCAGAAGAGTTTCTGTATTAATGTCTAAAATGTTCAACACAATTCCTACACCTCTGCTGGCCATCCTCGCAGCGTTGTCTGGCTGGTCCCCGTTCAGTGGCACCATCAGCATGGGAACGGCGTGACACAGTCCCTCAAACAGACCATGTGAGCCAGCGTGAGTGATGAATGCACGGGCTCCTGGGTGAGCTAAGACACAAAACATGCAGAAATATCAGATGTTTTGATATGTGACACATCAGCGTGTTTCACATTTCAGGATGTGCTGCTGCAGACACACACCTAGCAGGTCATTCTGCGGGACCCATTTCATCATCTTCACATTTTCCGGGACATTGTCAGGAACCTTTCCAGTGTATCTCCATATGACCTGTCATAGTTTTATTGTAGATTAAGATTAGCTGTATTTATTTATAACACAAGATAAGCTGTATGCTGATATACCTTCTGTGGAATCTGTCTGAAGGCCTCCAGAAAGACAAAGGTGATTTCCTCTGGCAGATCTGACACCTTGGAGCCCAGAGTGAACACTACAAACCCGTGCTCTCCAGACACCCAGGAATCTAGATCCTGACAAAACACAAACTTGCTTAAGTACTTTGCATTTATCACTCTTACCTGATTGGTCTTACAGTCTTACGGTAAGTGGTGTCAATCAGAATGTTCATAAATGTATTTAGAGTCTAAAACTCATAAAGTCTTACTGGGGGCAGAGGATGTTTCACATTGCAATTGATTCCACCAACCAGTACAATATTGGGCATGAGTGGGCGTGGGAAATCCAGCGTGAAGTCATTCCTGTTTAAATACAGCAACAGTTTTTTGTTTTTTTACACTCACACAGGCAGCAAATGTCAACAATACACAGACGTTGCGTGTGTTACCTCAGCAGCCAGATATCAGAGTCTGAAAGCACTTCAGCCACGCCCACGTTCTCTCCAAGGAAGTCACGGGTTATGTGGTCAAAGCGCCAATACAGCAGTCTGCAAAACAGCGGCTCCACCAATGCCACCTGTGGGTCAGAGGCATTACAGGACAGTAATACAGCACCAAAACTGAAGACATAAATCCAAGACATACTGTAATACTAATAACACTGACATGCTAGTTTGTCCCAAATTAACCTCATTGTAAGCAGAGATGGGCAGTAACGCGTTACTGTAATCCGATGACTTTTTTCAAGTATTGAGTAAATTAAAGCAGTACGATTGCAAAAAAAAAGAAAGTAGATTACTTTTACTTTCCCATAAGCACGCTGTGTTACCGCGTTACTAAAACTTTACATGCTGGAATATACAGAAAATATGTTTAAAAGTTAAACACATTTCTTCAAGTCAAACACTCTTGCATATAATTTAATTTTTGCTTGGTGCAATGTGCATAAAGTTAAAAAATTAAAATGAATAAAACAAGTTTTAAAAGAGACTTTTTCATTTGATTCAATTTTATAAAATGAAATATTCAGAAAAAATCGAACGGGGCTCATAGGCTTTATAATGTATTGTTGTGTATCGTGTTTTTAAAAGTAACTAAAAGTAGTACTAAAGTAACTCATTACTTTTGAAAATAACAAATCAGTAAAGTAATGGGATTACCTTCTTGGAGAAGTGATCAGTAATTAGTAACTAATTATTATTTTCAAGTAACTTGACCGGCACTAGTTGTAGGGAATAAATAATACTCTAATGACCACAAATGAGGTGAGTATAAAGTATGAAGAGTCATTTAGGAAAGATAATTTGAAGGTACAGCACATATTTCCTGAGCAATATGGTCACAAACCACCAGTGTTTTGTTCATGACCATACATTGTCTGAAAGAAGATGCAAATAACATTCCTGGAAAAGCTGTGCTTTAAGGCTTGAATATGCTAACTTCTGCCTGGCTCACCAAAGTGTTGATAAGTCTCTCCTTGAAGCTCATTTTATCCGTGTATCCAGTGAAAAAGCGAGGAACGTATGAGGGCGGAGATGGGCAGCCAGCAGACTTCATGTCCAAGTGACACGGTATTCCTCTCAGCAGATTGACAGTAGGGAGACCTGGAAGTGATTGAGTAATGATAGGTGAGAAAATGTGCAGGTGTACAAGCAAACAGATAACCTGAGTGCAGAGGAGCTCACCTAATTTTCGAGCTATTAATGAGCCCGTGGGAACCATGGGATCTGTCAAGACGGCATCAAAGTCCTATAAAGTGAAACAGGAAGAAGGTGGAAAAGCAGAGAGGAGTCAGTCTTCCACTGTGTTTCAGCACTACAGTCTCTTGCATACATGGTTCACACATGGAGGATTTTACAGATTGTGGGTATAAAGTGGCTAAACTGGACCTATGATGCTCCTTTGAAAGTAGGACAGCATTGCATGATTCACAGTTCAGTTTTTATCCTTTATTGGACCTTTGTGCAGCTCCCTAGTTCATCATCAGTCTAGCAGAAGCTTTTTTTTATAGCCCCTCCCCCTTTAAGTAAACTTTTTTTTCTCATTGGCTGTTGCTCATAACCAGAAGATTTGAACACCAGGTGCATGCTACGCCAGCCAGCGTTGTACATTTACGTTTGGCATATCTTCTCTCACTGACTTCATCCAAAGTCAAGAGAAGAAAAAACACTTGCAGAAACAGAGCATTTAGATGTCTACAGTTTACTTGTACATGTACTGACCTGAGCTTTTAAGTTTAATATGAGCATCCACCACTGTTCACATACAGATATGGTAAAAAGAAAGTGCACCTGTTTTCCTGTCTTTGGTTTCACATATTAGGACATAATAAACATCATCTGGTCCTTAAGAGGTTTTAAAGGTCTTAAATAAACAATGACATGGTGTAATATGTTTTATAGTTCATGTGAAGTTGTAGTGGCCCGATTTTGAGACCTGATAAAGCCTATATAGCTTTTAATGTCCTGATGTGTAAAACCTCAGTGTCAGGGTGGGCTGCGTGGCATGTTTTTTATTTTTATTTTATTTTCCATGGATCTATTAATAATAATATACAATTAAAAATTTATGAAATATACACAGTCGACCACTACAGTTACATTAATAGATGTACAACATGATGAGAAATTTGGACTGCCAACTTGTAGAAGAGAACCTCCATCCCAACACTCTTACACAGCATAAGCAAAAGACCCTCCATGTACAATTTGCAAAGCTTAAGCTCCAATGTTGGTTTTGCAGCTGATACCAAAGTTGTTTTCCTTTTCTGTATTTGTACTCACCTGCTGGGACAAGTGTGATATGAGACTGGCATTGAAGAGCAACTTCTCTGCAGTGATGTGCAGAAAATCAGAAATGGCCTGGAACTGTGTGAACCGTTTCTTGATCTTCTCCATGAAAGGCTGCGCAGATCTTTTCATGATGTCTTTGTGTGTGGACATCACAGAGTCGATGTAAGCCTTGTCATAAGGTACAGGATAGGTCAAAGTGTCATAGTGTTTCCCCGGACCCATTCGTACGGTGGTCTCTGGCATCACCACCGTAACTCTGTGTCCACGGCGACCCATTTCCTGGGCAATGGCTTTAAGACCTATCCAATGACTCCCATCCATGGGCACCACGAGCAGTTTGCCTAAAAACTGTGAAAAACTTGCAGGCTTGGTGTGAGGAAGTTCAGCCTCTTCTGTCTTCAGCTTGTTTTTGGGACTGGACTTTTCTGAACTAGATCCCTTCGTATTATCCACAGCACCAGTTATTTCCGTGACCACGTTAAGCAGCAAAAACACAAAGACTCCTGCTGTCCTCATTGTTCTCTCGTCAGTGTACCAACCGCTAACTGAATTGAGCACAGAGAAAGTTTTGGGGGAATGACAAAGGAAACACCCCCTTCTCTGAGCTTTAGGTTTTGCAGCTGTGAATCAGGCTGTTCTCTCTGCAGGCTCCTCTGAATACGTTGTTTGAATTCCTCAGTGAATTAGCAGATTGGATTTGTGTGTGTTCAAAGTCCATCCTGTTGGGAATCTAGGTGAAAGGAGTAGCCCTGCTAATCTAAAGCAATCATCAAAGAGTGTACTGTGGCTTTAATGCAGTTTCAAAGGGCAGCGTTATCACAATATTTCTCAACAGTAGTGTCTTTCCTGCCCTCCCCGAAACCAGGGTCCACTATCTGCATCGTTTTAACACAGTTGCACTTCAGTCTTTTTAGTTGGTATCAGACACACAAGCCACTAATTTACACATTGAACATCCTAATCAAGACACAACTCAAGAAAAAGTTATGTAATGTTTTCATTAGCTATAAAATATTAATGTTAATGTGGGTAACCACAACAGACTTTGTCATTCAGTATGATCTAAATAATGTTTTAAAGACCACAGTCAACAATTAATAAGTGTGGAAATACAGTACATGTTACAAAGGGAATAAGGTAGGGTTTGTTGACATTTTAAATTCCAGAGCACACAGAGCTCAAAACAGACACAAATGCGAAGGGGGATGCTTGTGCAAAGTCAAATGGTATATGTGCATATAGAGTTGTACACAGTCTACCCAATCTAAGTTGCCAGCATCCACATAGAACTAAAACATAAAA